ACAAAATTACATCTCAAATCCATCCAGCTCTCTCTTGTCATTAGCACCTTATCTAGCCACCACTATCTCATCCCAGCTCCCAAAACTGCCTGCATCCACTCTCACCCCAAACAGTCCATTTCTTACACAGCAGCTACTGTTATTTAAAATGAAATATAAACTTCTTGCCAAACCCTTCAAAGCCCTGTACATTTCTATAACCTCTTCTCACCCATCTCTGCCTCTCTAAATCAGCCACACTGGGGCTTTTCCTGTTTCTCAAACTCACCAAGATCATCCCCACTATTCCTTCCTTTGTACCCACTATTCCTTCCTTTCTATTTCTTTTCCCCTCAGCATAATCAAAATACGATTCACATATAACATAGGTAAGTTTAGGTGTACACAGTGATGATTCCACACATGTACATATTCCAAAATGATTACCACAATAAAGTCAACTAACCTCTCCATCCCTTCACATAATTACAATTGTGTATGTAGTGATAAAATGTAAGATCTACTCCCTTAAAAACTTCCAAGTGTATAATACAGTAGTACTGTTATTGATTATAGTCAGCATTAGATCTTATTTACCTTAATGCTAGTAGGTTGTACCCTTTGACCAGCACCTCCCATTTATCCCATTCTCCCACTCTGGCAACGAGCATTCTATTTCCTACTTCTATGAATTTGGCATTTTAAGATTCCACATATAAGTGAGAACATACAGTACCTGTCTCTTTTTTACTTATTTCACTACGCTATTACTTTTTTCTTCTTTATTGAATTTATCGAGATGACAATGGTTAATAAAATGATATTAAGTTTAAGGTGTACAATTCTATAATACATCATCTGTATATTGTATTGTGTATTCACCACCCCAAGTCAAGTCTCCTCCCATTATCATTTATTCCCCCTTTACCCTCTTCTACTCATCCCATACCACTTTCTCTCTAGTAATTTCCATATTGTTGTATGTGTCTATGAGTTTTTTTGCTTAATCCCTTCACCTTTTTCATCTAGCCACGCAACCCCCCTACCCTCTGAGAGCTGTCAAGCTGTTCTCCATCTGCAAGCCTGGTTCTGTTTGGTTTGTCAGTTTATTTTGTTCATTAAATTGACTGGCTAATTTCAATTAGCATAATGCTCTCCAGGTCCATCCATGCTGTCACAAAAGGTAAGATTTCTTTCATGTTTATGGCTGAGTAGCATTTCATTGTGTAAATGTACCACCGCTTTATTATCCACTCATCTACTGATGGACATTTAGGCTGCTTCCAAATCTTGGCTATTATAAATAATGCTGCAACGAACATACAGGTGCATATATTCTTTCAAATTAGTGTTTCGTGTTTCTTAAAATATTTTCTCAGAAGTGGGATCACTGGGTCATAAGGCAGTTCTATTTTTAATTTTTTTAGGTAACTCCATACTGCTTTCCATAGTGGCTGCACCAATCTGCATTCAGATCAACAGCGCACGAGGGTTCTCTTTTCTCCACATCCTCACCAGCACTTGTTTGCTGATTTATTGATGGCAGCCATTCTGAGAGGTGTGCACTGATACCTCATTGTGGTTTTAAATTGCATCTCTCTGATTAGTGACACTGAACATCCTTTCATATATCTATTTGCCATCTGTATGTCCTCTGTGGAGATGTGTCTATTCAAGTCCTTTGCCTGTTTTTTAATGATTGTTTGTTTTATTGGTGTTGAGCTTTGTAAGTTCTCCATAAATTTTGAATATTAACACATTATCATATGTATCATTGGGGAATGTGTTCTCCAATCCAGTAGGATGTCTTTTCATTTTGTTAATGGTTTCCTTTGCTGTACAAAAACTTTTCAGTTTAATGCAGTCCCATTTGTTTATTTTTCCTTTTGTTTCTCATTCCCAAAAATATATATCAGAAAAAAACATTGCTATAAAAAATTAGTGTCGAAGATTTAACTGCCTATGGTTTCTTCCAGGATTTTATGGGTTCAAGTCTAACATCCAAGTCTCTAATCCATTCTGAGTTTATTCTTGTGTATGGTGTAAGAAGATGGTCTAGTTTCATTTTTTAAAATATATATGTGTATATATATATGTGTGTATATGTATATATGTATATATATTGTGTTTTTTTTAATATATATATGTTTTTATTAAATTTTTAGAGAGAAAGGAAGAGAGAGATATAAACTTTGATGTGAGAAACATCAATCAGCTGCCTCTTGCACGCCCCCTACTGGGGGATCAAGCCCACAACCTGGGCACATGCTCTGACCAGGAATCAAACCAGGATCTCTCAGGCCATAGGACAACACTCAATCCACTGAGCCACAATAGCTGGGCTCTAGTTTCATTTTTTGGTACATATCTGTCCAATTTTTCCTAATACCATTTATTAAATAGACTATCTTTACCCTATTGTAAGGTTTTACCTCCTTTGTCAACTATTAATTAACTATAAAAGTGTAGGTTTATGTCGGGGCTCTATATTCTGTTTCATTTATCTATATGTCTGTTTTTATGCCAGTAATATGCTGATTTGATTACTATAGCCTTGTAGTATAGTTTGATGTCAGGTAATGTGATTCCTCTAACTTTCTTCTTTCTCAAGACTGCTATGCCTATTTGGGGTCTTTTGTGGTTCCATATAAATTTTTGAAATATCTGTTCTAGTTCTGTGAAATTCACCATTGGTATCTTGATAGGAATTATGTTGAATATATAGCTTGCTTTGGGTAGTATGGACATTTTAATGATGTTAATTCTTCCTGTCCATGAGCATGGTTCATGCTTCCACTTATTTGTATCTTCTTCAATTTCTTTTTTGGGTGTCTTAAAATTTTCCAGGTACAATTCTTTTACATCCTTGGTTGAATTTAATCATAGGTATTTTATTCTTTTTGAAGCAACTGGAAATAGGAATGTTCTCTTAGTTTCCCTTTCTGATAATTCATTATTGGTTGTAAAAATGCAACTGATTTCTGGATATTTTATATCCTGCTATTTATTGAATTCATTTATCATATTAGAGTTCTCTATAAACAGTATCATGTCATCTGCAAATAACAACAGTTTTACTTCTTCCTTTCTATTTGGATGCCTTTGATTTCTTCTTCTTGTCTGATTGCTGTGGTTAGACTTCCAGTACTGTGTTGAACAAGAGAGGTGAAAGTGGACATCCCTGTCTTGTTTCGGATTTTAAGGGAAATGCTTGTCATTTTTGCCCATTGACTATGATGTTGGCTGTGGGTCTGTCATTTATGGCCTTTATTACATTGAGGTATGTTCCCTCTATTCCTACTTTGCTGAGAGTTTTTATCATAAATGGGTGCTAGATTTTATCAAATGCTTTTCCTCCATCTATTGATATTATCATGTGGTTTTTATCCTTCATTTTTGTTTATGTGGTATATCACGTTAATTAATTTGCAGATATTTACCAATCTTGCATCCTCAGAATAAATCCCACTTGATCATGTTATATGATCTTTTTTTAAATATATATATATATATATATATATATATATATATTTTTTTTTTACTGATTTGAGAGAGAGAGGTAGGGAGAGGGAGAGAGAGATAGAAACATCGATGAGAGAGAAACATCAACATTAATTGGCTGCCTCCTGCCTGTCCCCTGCTGGGGATTTAGCCAGCAACCCAAGCATATGCCCTGACCAGGAATCAAACCGGTGACCTCCTGGTGCCTGGGATGATGCTCAACCACTGAACCACACTAGTCAGGATTGGTGTATGATCTTTGTAACATATGGCTAGATCCGGTTAGCTAATATTCTGTTGAGGATTTTAGCATCTATGTTCATCAGGAATACTGGCCTATAATTTTCTTTCTTTGTAGTGTCTTTCTCTGGTTCTGGAATGAGGATAATGCTGACATCATAAAATGAGCTTGGGAGTCTTTCCTCCTCTTGAAATTTTTGGAATAGTCTGAGGATAGTTTTTAGTTCTTTTTTTAATGTTTGCTAAAACTCACCTGTGACTCCATCTGGTACAGGAATTTTGTTTGTTGAAGGTTTTTTATTACTGCTTCAATTTTACCTGTTGTAATCTGTCAATTCAGATTCTCAGATTCTCCCTGATTCAGTTTTGGAAGATTGCATGTTTCTAGGAATTTATCCATTTCTTCCAGATTGTCCAATTTGTTGGAATATAGCTATAAGTAATATTTTCTTACAGTCCTTTGTATTTCTTTGGTGTCAGTTGTTATTTCTCTTTCATTTCTGATTTTATTTATTTGGGTCCTCTCTCTTTTCTTCTTGAATAGTCTGGTTAAAGGTTTCTGAATCTTGTTTATCTTTTCAGAAACTCAGTTCTTGGTTTCATTGATTTTTTGCATTAAAAAAATTTTTTTTTCTTTATTGATTTTAGAGAAAGAGGAAGGGAGAGACAGAGAGAGAACATCAATTGGCTGCTTCCTGCATGCCCCCCCCGCCCCGCCCCACCCCGCCACTGAAGATTTGGCCTACAACCTGGGCATGTGCCCTGACCAGGAATTTAACCGGTGACCTCTTGGTGCATGGGTCCATGCTCAACTACTGAGCCACACCAGCCAGGCTATATTTTTTTTAGACTCTACTTCATTTATTTCTGTTCTTATCTTTATTATTTCCTTCCTTCCACTTACTTTGGGCTTTGTTTGTTGTTCTTTTTCTGATAACTTTAAGGGTAAAGTTAGATTGTTTACAGGCGGACACACAGGCTGGGAAAGACATATAGTTTAAGATTCTGCTAATTATAAGTGTTAGTTGAGAAAAATAATAATTACATCACAAATGATATACAATTCAGTAAGTAAATAACAAACAAAAGATAAATAACATGAATATAAAATGACTGTAGCTTGCCTAAGTAGAAGAATACTCTAACATAAACACTACAAAATCAAGACAAGTCAAAATTTTCAAAGGAAAAAGTATTATTTTAGTAATTATTTAGTAACATAAAAACAACTATTTCACTTTTATTTTAGTAATTTACTAAGAACAGTAATGTAATCCTACCTTACTACTAGTCATTGCTGGTCATATCTTAGCTAAAGTAGCAGGTCCATGTTGAAGGATTACACATCAGGGATGAGGAAGACACTTGATAAAACTTTCAGTGAAGTCTCACAGGAATGAGCATAGGTCTAGCCAGAAAGCATGAGCTGCAAGAAGAAATTCAAGGAGTCAGAACTGTATACTGCAGAGAAAAACAGGTTAAAATGTACACATGGAGTACAGTAAGCTGCTATGGAAGTCAACTGTGGCAGTGTCTCATATTCACCACATTAAGGATAAGAACACTATTCTTAATTTTATCCCCTGCTTACTCTCTCCCCTTTCTTTCCATAAGTTTCCAATGAGTAATATATTTACTAACCTTCTCTTTTAACCTGAGTTTTGAATAAGTAATTCATGTTTTTCTCTATTTTCACAGCATAAAACTAATTTCAAGTTTGAAGCGCATCAGAAAAAGAAACTACACTAGTTAAAATATTATTATAGCCTAAAGAAGTAACTAACTATATGAGAAAAATGTTGCCAAAGGCTGGGAAGGTTTGGGAAGGATTCTCCCAGGACACACATCCTTTCTCTGTCTAATAATGTACTTTAGTGTGCCAAAGCATGACCCTTGCATCAGCTATTCTCTCAACCCTTAAAACTAGAACTTCTTTTTTTTTAAATTTATTTACCTTACCCAAGGATGTTTATTGATTTTAGAGAGCAAGGAAGGGAGAGAGAGAGAGAAGGATAGATATCAATGTGAGAGAGAAACATCAATCAGTTGCCTCCCATAGGCACCCGGTCCCAGGAACAAACCCCCAACCTAGGTATGTGCCCTGACCGGGAATTGAACCAGAAACCTTTTGGTGTACAGACAACACTCCAACCAACTAAGCAACTCAGCCAGGGCTGAGACTAGAATTTCTCCGTCATTGGCTCTCTTATCACTGATGTCAATATAAGCAGTTAATAGCCCTGTCACTGTTTCCCATTTTTTGCCTCACACCTCATATTTCTAATCCCAACTTCTTGGTTTATGCTCAGTTCTCCCCTTCTTTCAAGCTCCTCATTTTTGTTTGCTTATTCTGTTTCCTGTCATTTCCGCTACTTCCTTGACCTTCATACAAATCAGAGGACATTTCACTTGATGTTACCAAGAAGATTACTCCTTTCCTTCTGGTCAGGAAACTGACCAAACACAGGAATATCTTTCAAGTCTCCTACTCTTCTAAGCCTTTGACCCATTTTCAAAGGGTTCCTCTTTTGCCTACTAGACAAGCATTTTATTCTCTTCCAGATTTGGCAAGGTTCTCAATGCTAGAACTGGTTGGAAATCTAAATTACATAGAATGAAAGTGTTATTACATCTCTCTACTTCCACTAAACTGTGATATGACTGAAGACAGGGATTGTTACCTTAACATAGCCAGCATACCATACAATAGCTGGAACACTGTAGCCACCAAAAAAGTGATTATTGAATGAATGAAATACCAAGGTGAATTAACAGCTTTCTCTGTACACTTTGGCATAAAGTAAGGCTTTGATAAGAGTTTTTGTATTAAATTATAAAATTCATGACTTAATATGATATTTAAATATAAAAATTTTAATCATGGCTTCTCTTTTATACTGCTTTCAACAGAGTATCTTCAATGGAATCCCCAGAAATAGTGAACAGTATTACTTAAAAAGATTTCTAGCCCTGGCCGATTTGGCTCAGTGGTTAGAGTGCTGCCCCTCAGACCAGAAAGACCCGGTTCCGTCCCTGCTAAGGGCATGTACCTCGGTTGCAGCTTGTCCCCGGCCCCAATTGGGGTCGTGTGGGTGGCAGCCGGTCGATGTGTCTCTTTCACATTGATGTTTCTCTCTCTCTTTCTTTCTCCCTCTCTCCCTCCTGCTCTATCTGAAAATAAATGCAGAAAAATATCCTCGGGTGAGGATTAAAAAAAAAAAAAAAGATTTCTAAGGAACAAAATATAGTGTATATCTAAATGTACACATTATATATGTTACCTAGTTCCACTCTAAATATAGATACTGGAAAATCCATTTAATTTGAAATTTTTTAGACTCTCTCCTCTATCAGCAAAGATATTTCAGAGTTACCTAGAATTCCATATTCTGGTCTCTCATTGTGATACAGAAAGAGTTCTTTTCAAAGACCTAAAAACAAAATAACTATTCGGCTGGGATTCCATGCCCAACATTGAGCAGTGTCAAGGGTCTTGTTCAAGAAAGCTGGTCAGAGCTCCCATGTGTTATTTATGTATCGTTCTCAACCTCGAGTCTCTTCTATACTTTTTAGTTTTCAATATTTTTCCACTTGATATTGAAATGATTGGGGTTAAAAACAAGTAACAACTTCCTTGGTAGAACCTCTAAATGGAGCGTTTCTTTGCTCAACCGACTAGAAACCTAGAATTAAAAATTATAGTCCTTGTATTACTTCAAAGGAATTATTATCCTTATCAAAACTCATCAAAGACCTCTACAGACTAAATAAAAATGTATGATAACAGCTTTCTGGTACACCTTAATCTTGCCCACCAACTTCCCCATCTATACAGGCTGCCATCTCTAACTCTTACTCATAGCCAAATATAGTTCCTATTCCTTCACTGTGCTTCTCTTCAAAACTAGAACTAGACTCCTCTTACTTTTCTAATAAGTAACAAACCAAAATCTAATTCTGACAAACCAAATATCTAAAAGTAAGCAATGAATTTAAATATAATTTTTGCATCCATTTAAAGTCATGTTTTAAAGAAAATCTCTTGTTCATTGCCTATATACAATGAGATTTGTGTGGTGTTTTTTTTTTTTTTTTCAAATGAGTGTGAGTTGCATTGTGCATGCAAGTTAACAGACCTGTGTTATTTCTTACTCCCCTTCTTTTGGTAGCAGCATCTCAATTTATTTCTATTGAACTACCCTTATCTTATTCTCAATCCATGTAGTTTGGCTGGCACTAGTCATTCCCATTCTCAAGTTTCTAGAATGAGCACAAAGTTCCTGGAATAGGTGCATGACTCAGGTCTGGACAGTCAATATATTCCCTCCCCCAAGCAGTAGTTCAGGAGTGGGTAGGTAACCCAGTAGGACTGATAAAACTCAATTCTGTAAGAATGAATTGGAAAGTTATCTTTCAGCTGAGGTTACTAAACTGAAAGAACATGATAAGAATCAACTTCACAGTGACCCAACCAGAAAAAAGAAGTGCCGAGAGATGAAAACAGATAAGAACACTCCAAAAGTATTTTGCCCAAAGATCTAATCAGTCCTGAGTTCAGCTGTTAATAGACATACCTGCTACAATCTTAGAATTACTGTTGGGAAATAATTGTCTCTGTGGATTTCTCACTGTTCCTGCATAATCAGAGCCTTCTGAGCAAAAGGTACTACTGTACAAGGATATTTGCATGACAGACAGCCTTGAAAGCTAGAGACAGTGTCTGCCTATAGATAGAGACCTCCAATGAGCTTTGGAGAAATAAAGCCCTCTTCTTCCCTTCCCTGGAAGACATTCACTTATATTCTTTTATTAACATGTTTATTATGTTACTTTATATTTTTTATTTATATGTACTTATTCACTAGTATAATAAACCTAAAGACAGTTTTCCTTTCTCCCCTGGAGAAATTTGCTTAATGAGTCATCTCTCTCCTTCTGCAGAGCATTCTCTTCCCATCAATGTTTCAGACTAAGCAGTTACATGAGGCAATAAATTATTATTTTTTATTTATTAATTCAATCAACAAATATTCACTGACAGCCTACTAAGCTACGTGCCATGCATTTTCCTACATAACAAACCAGACAAAAAGTCCTGCCCTCACCAAGATTATAATCTAGAGAGGAAACAAAATACAAAATAAATAAGTACAGTACACAGTATTGAGTGGTAAAAAGTGTTACAAAGAGAGAATAAGCAGGACAAGGTAACAAGTGTGGAGGAGGTCAGAGATTTCAAATGTATGTTAGGTGATTAAAGACTTTACAGATGGCCCTGGCCGGTTTGGCTCAGCGGTTAGAGCGTCCACCTGCGGTCCGGAGAGACCCGGGTTCGGTTCCCGCTAAGGGCATGTACCTCGGTTGCAGTTTGTCCCCGGCCCTGGTTGGTCGTGCGGGTGGCAGCCACTTGATGTGTCTTTCTCTTCCTCTCTCTCCCTCCTACTCTATCTGTACAAAAAATGGAAAAATGTCCTCGGATGAGGATTAAAAAAAGACTTTACAGATGAAGTAATGTTTGAGCAAGGTCTTAAAGGAGATAAGGAAGTAAGTCATATGGCTATATGGAGAGGATCATTCCAGGCAAGAACAGTAAGTGCAAAGCACCTATTTATGAAAGACCAAGAAGGTCCTCTGCCCATTTGTTAATTGGATTCTTTGTCTTCCTTTTGTTGAGCTGTATGAGTACTTTATATATTTTGGAAATTAACCCCTTATCCGATGTATCATGGGCAAATATGTTCTCCCATATAGTGGGTTCCCTTTTGATTTTGATGATTGTTTCTTTTGCTGTGCAGAAGCTTTATAGTTTGATGTAGTCATATCTATTCATTTTTTCCTTTGTTTTTCTTTCCCTTTGGTGATGTATTGTTAAAAATTCTGCTACGTGTGATGTCTGAGATTTTGCTGCCTACATTTTCTTCTAGGATTTTTATGGTTTTACAAGTTACATGTAAGTCTTTTATCCATTTTTAGTGTTTTCTTGTGTATGGTGTAAGTTGGTGGTTCAGTTTCATCTTTTTGCATGTACCTGTCCAATTTTCCTAACACCATTTACTGAGGAGACTGTCTTTACTCCATTGTATGCTCTTGCCTTTTTGTCATATATTAATTGAGCATAATGTCTTGGGTTGATTTCTGGGTTCTCTTTTATGTTCCATTGATCCATATGCCTGTACTTGTGCCAGTACCAGGCTGTTTTGATTACAATGGCTTTGCAGTATAACCTGATATCCAGTATTGTGATACCTCCAAATTTGTTCTTCTTCCATTAAAAATAGGCTAGTGTATTCTAGCTAGTACACTGCTGGTGGGAATGCAGACTGGTGCAGGCACTATAAAAAACAATGTGGTGTTTCCTCAAAAAATTTAAAAAGGAACTGCCATTTGACCCAGTAATCCCACTTCTAGGAATACATCCTAAGAAGC